TTAACGAATTTTAGGGTTTTATCGCTTCGTTTCAAATATTTTTTCTATATGTATTTTTTTTAATCGTTCAAAATCCTTATGAATATACTCTGTTTAATCGAATACTACCTACGACCAAGGCGGGAAGTGGGATATCATTTGATCAGTCACGCGGGGGATGTTGTTGGAGGGACGAAACCACAGACTGACATTGAGGCGACGCCCGTCACGGACGCCTGCATGGTGACGCGCCTAGGTCCGGTCGCTTCCGCGAGAACCGCTCGGAAGTACGCAGACGCACCGCGGAAATACCCGGCGAACGGGACACATTTTAACACACCGCCGAAGGTGAGTGTGTGCCACCGCCCGCAGTATAACAGAATAATATTATAAGATTGGCACGTGATATTACGTACAGAGTGATTTTTAATTTTTTTTTTTTCCGACAGGCCGCAGTTATTTGGTAGTAAAATTATACGTACATACACTAGGTTTTTGTTTACATTTTTTTCTCCTTTTTCGAAATCTTCGGTCTCGCGATGCCCGATCGTCTTCCGGCCGCTGTTGCTCGGGTGACAAATTTGTTGTAATTTCCCAAACGAATTTGATAATTATACATACAAAGACACACAATATACGAGTACATTCTTGATTTTATGATGATTTGATTTTATCGCAATGTTTCTAATCTGTTATTAAATTATACTAAGTATTGAAAACACGATGTAAATATACCAGCCAATTATTAATTTAATTAAAACGGGACAATCAGATAAACTTGTTTAAAAAATTAAATAATAATTATTTAGCAGTCCAAGGACATACAATTTTGACTTTATTGACAGATATAAGCCGTGGTGAGGGAGTGGGATTCGGTAGAGGGGAGCGAAAACACTTTGAAGACAGATTTTTAAGTTTCGAATTGTATATGAGTGTTGAGTGTTGTGTTCATAATTGAATAATTTTCTATCAGAATACGACAACATCGTTTTGGATTTTTATTTGCTTGTCATTATGCTCAATAAACCTCCCGGTGAAATTTCCCTTAACTGGCTGATACGGTATCAGTCAGTTAGGGCTAATACTATAAAGTATTAATAAGTGTACACCGAAAGCAAGATTTGGTAAAGTTAATACGGAAAGATAAAATTATAATTTGAATGTCTAGATTGATTAAAAATATGATTAGTCGTTTACCAAAACGTAAAACATCCGTAACCATAAACAATATTTATTTACGTTAAATAATTTCTGGCTGAATGCAAACTATTTTAAAACATTCATCATATCGACACCAACCGTTTTGTTATTTGTTATAATATTATCCTAGTATACTATAAACTTTTATATTTTAATATACATTATTTAAATAATTGAGTTTTAGTATTCTCACAACGATAAAATAAAATAATATCAGACATTATGGAACGCGCATACGGGCCAAAGAGAAGCGTTTATCAGAACATGCTCGAGTGTAACTCGATGTCCGACGTCAAGGATAATAGTAATTATCAGATACTGATGGCGCTACGACGACCGCTGTGCAACTACTTGGACCCGCTTTCCTGGGAATGCGACAATGGTCATACAGTGTGTGATGCAGAAAAGTACAGTTATGTGACGATAATATGTATGATAATTTCCGTATTTTTCGAGTCGATCTGGCGGGCGTTCGGTTTGTTCGGTATGTACCTATATATTTATATATTTAAAACACCGGTTTCAAAATATAAAGCGACGTAGATACAGAGTATATAACATATTCTATGAGTTAGAAGATAAAGTCCGGGATAAGGGGTTAATCAATGTGGCCGTTTACAGAGACAGTTGCAGTACCTACGGTTTAATTTGATAACTTAATTGCTCTATTATAGCGTCACTTTTTGCGTTTTGAGATTAGGTTTAAAAATCATAATTTTATTGTTATTTGCTTTAAAAAAAATTATTTCTCTAAGTGACCACGTAATTATTATAGTTAACACAGAGGAGATAGCAAGTGCCCCGACCTTGTTTTCTAAAACCACGATTCCGACTATAGAGCATATACCTACATTATAATACCTAATACCTATAGTGAAAGAGTTGGCTGAGTTGAGTTAACTTAAAACTTTAGAAGGGAATACTTTTGTGTACCCACTCGTGCAGTGCGGTTTTCTGATCAGTAGAAAAATTATTATATTAGTACTCTACAGTTAATATATTATCCAAATCATATTGTGTAATTGAGAAAATATATATAATATTATTATGAAAAATGACGACGGGAAAACTTTTAAATGATCTAATGATTTAATAGGACGTGCATGCGAATATACAGTGGCGGATCTGGAATAACGATAACCAATTAGAATGCATAATACAGTTAGCCGGTCTCTTATATCATAGGTATATAGGCTCACTAATTCAGACAACACACGAATGTATTAGTAGGCTTCTATTTAAATTTAAATTTTNTATTATGAAAATTCGTAATTCATTCCCGATTCATCCGCTATATTTATTATTGTGTTTCTTGAAAAAAAAAAATATATGAAATGTTTGTATGGGTTATAGTTTTCCTGTGGCCTGTGAAATCTATACTCGTCCGGGTATTTGTGTACCTGAGAAACCGAATACAAGACGTAAAGAACACCAAAAATAGTTGCCACGTGAAAATCAAGATTATGATACTGATGTTACAGAGCAGTTTATTAACCGTGGCCCTTGGCGTATTGATAATGATTAACATACCATTCGTTCAGTTCGTTTGGCACATGTCTGTATGGATACTACAAACAATGCGATTGCTAGCGATGTTTTCCTATAGTTAGAAATGCGTTCACTCACATCAAAAAAGTGAGCTTTTACCACAGCTGAAATCGTTCCAAATTAAGTGTACGTTAAATCACGTTAATTGAAAATACAAATAAGATCTTTCCCGGAATTTTTTAACTTAGTTNAATTAGGTTTTGTGCGGCACCCCTCTCTTTACCACGGCCAAAACTTTTCTAACAAATTGTAGTGAATGTAAATTAAGTTGCTGATTAACCGTTGTTAAACATATATTTAATACATTTAATTTTAAAATTCTACAAATACTTATATAAGAAAATGAATTGTCCTTTTTTTTTAATCAATTCATAAATTTTTCAACAGTGATAGGAATGTTCCTATGAACTGCCATTAAGTGAGGTCATTTAGTCACTTCTATAAAAAAAAATTTAAATAATTCATACAAAATAAGTACATAACTAATAACAATAAAATAAATAACTGTACTTTTCTGCATCACACACTGTATGACCATTGTCGCATTCCCAGGAAAGCGGGTCCAAGTAGTTGCACAGCGGTCGTCGTAGCACCATCAGTATCTGATAATTACTATTATCCTTGACGTCGGACATCGAGTTACACTCGAACATGTTCTGATAAACGCTTCTCTTTGGCCCGTATGCGCGTGCCATAATGTCTGATATTATTTTATTTTATCGTTGTGAGAATACCAAAACTCATTTATTTAAATAATGTATATTAAAATATAAAAGTTTATAGTACACTAGGATAATATTATAACAAATAACAAAACCGTTGGTTAACGACTAATCATATTTTTAATCAATCTAGACATTCAAATTATAATTATATCTTTCCGTATTAACTTTACCAAATCTTGCTTTCGGTGTACACTTATTACTACTTTATAGTATTAGCCCTAACTGACTGATATCGTATCAGCCAGTTAAGGGAATTAACAGTAAAACTTATAAAGTATTAATAAGTGTACACCGAAAGCAAGATTTGAAAAGGTTAATACGGAAAGATAAAATTATAATCTGATCTGGAATAACGATAACCAATTAGAATGCATAATGCAGTTAGCCAGTCTCTTATATCATAGGTACATAGGCTCACTAATTCAGACAACACACGAATGTATTAGTAGGCTTCTATTTAAATTTAAATTTTCAAAAAATAGGTATTTAGGTACCCATCAGCCATATTTACTTATATATCATAATATATTATGAAAATTCGTAATTCATTCCCGATTCATCCGCTATATTTATTATTGTGTTTCTGAGAAAAAAAAATATATGAAATGTTTGTATGGGTTATAGTTTTCCTGTGGCCTGTGAAATCTATACTCATCCGGGTAATTGTGTATCTGAAAAACCGAATACAAGACTCAAAAAACACCAAAAATGATTGCCACACGAAAATCAAGATTATCCTACTGATGTTGCAGTACAGTTTATTAACCGTGGTCGTTGGCGTATTGATAATGATTAACATGCCATTCATTCAGTTTGTTTGGCACATATCTGTATGGATACTACAAACAATGTGCTTGCTAGCGATTTTTTCCTATAGTAAGTAATGCGTTCACTCACATCAAAAAAGTGAGCTTTTACCACGGCTGAAATCGTTCCAAATTAAGTGTACGTTAAAGCACGTTAATTGAAAATACAAATAAGGTCTTTCCCGGAATTTTTTAACTTAGTTANCGGTAACTACTTAAGTTGTTGGATGAATTAGGTTTTGTGCGGCACCCATCTCTTTACCACGGCCAAAACTTTTCTAACAAATTGTAGTGAATGTAAATTAAGTTGCTGTTTAACCGTTGTTAAACATATATTTAAGGTGTTTATCTTTATTGAACCCGTGACTCTACTCAGCTAATTGTTTATTGATATGAATTTGATAACCTGTTGATCTCTTTAAATTGAACCGAGCTTGATATTCTCCTATTATTTTTTTAGTATATTGATTGATTCTGATCAGAAGAATATTAGACAAAATCTTATAAGTTGAGTTGAGTAGGGAGATCCCTCTTTAATTTTCACACTCCATGATATCTCCCTTTTTAAAAACAGGACCTTAAAGGAAAACCTTAAACATAAAACAGACAATTTATTTAGTATAATTATGATCAAAATGTATATTTGTTCATTGTCCTATCTATTAAAAACATTTATATGTTTTAAAAACCTGCCTTCTAATTGCTTTATGAAATCATCGACGAATTGAATATGTATAGTTTTTCAAAAATAAGTTTCCGGGTAAAGTTCATTTTTGTCGTTTAATTGATTAGCTCGATTTTGTTGTCCCTTATTCAAATCTTTTATTGAAATAGTTACATCCAAAAATTCAACCATTTTCTATTATGATTTAAAAACATAATTTTAATGTATTAATATTAGTGAAAGTAAACACATTATTAAATTTATTTGATAATTATTAGTTACGTTTACTTTTTTAAATATCTTATGAAATTCAACGTCTATGTTATTTCTTCGAGTCTTAGGAGCATTTACATTATCAATAACAGCAGTTCCCGCAGCTTTTCTTAAATCAATTTTTATTTGTTGAAGTTGTTTACTTAAAGGTAGTCCATATGAGAATAAAACCTAAAATAAAAATAAATACTTTAATAGATTCAAATAAATAAAAAAATTATATAAAAATATTTAATATTATTATGCAAATGTATAAGTAAAACATATAACCAGATATATTTACTTTTATGACTTGTAAAGATTTTAAAAACGTCTAATCTATTGAGCAATTTCTAATTGGTTGGATATAATAAATATTTGTTATAGTATAAATTACCATTTAATATAGATGAAGCTTAATTTTCTCCAATTAAACTAATAACTTCCGTAAATTTTAAAATATTATCATGAGTATTTATATCTTGTCCAGTATCAACCAAGTATCTAACACAAAGCGTAAGTTACTCTTTTACGAATACATCTGTAGTTTCATCAGTAAATACACTAAAATAGTCTGATTCATTAATTTTCTTCGGAAGTTTTTTTTTTTAAAATGACCTATATCATCTCCACAATTGTTTATAATTTAATTTTGAATAAAAAATCTTATATATTTGTTTCGGTAGTTCGATGAAAGAAAATTGTTCATAAGATCAATGACTTTAATTTTATATTTTAATATTTCATGGAAGTTTCCTTCAATTACTTTAGATTAATCTGTAATTAAATAATTTATGTCTTCAACAATTTTATTTTATAACAACTTGTTGTGCGCACACGTTTATTCACCGTCTCATCCCTTATCGAATATTTCTAATATTTATATAGTGCGATAACAGTACATTTTTTTCTCATTTATTATATATTTAAATAAATCATATTTTTCGTTAGTAGGTACTATGCGTTTCGATTTCACAGAAAAATAAATAGTATTTTTCCCAAATGTAATGAAGAAATTATCCATTAACCATGGGATGTGACCATCATAAAAATCGATTCGATTCAATGTAATATATGTAGGAAATACTTTTGGTTCTGGTTAATTTAAAGTATTTTTGATTTTTTAATTTTTTATTACATAGTATAAAATATTTAAATAATTATTCACCAAATCGTTTAATTTATTTGCGCATTTATTTACATACGATTCGTTCAGTATCGATAACCAATTTTATTCAGTTAAAAATGAGATTACAATTTTAAAATGAAATGTACTTTTATCGTTAATTTTTGTTTCATACATATTTTTTGTATTGTTTTGTTTAAGTATATTTTAATATTATACTGTAATGAACTGTTATATAAGATTGATAGATTGACAGATTACAGGAATTAAATTGTTTAAATCGTTAGTTTTTATAAATATATGATAAGAAGTTGAATCACTAGTGTCATTCTTTCTAGTAATATGATTTATACAACTACAATAACTATGTTGTGCCATTAGGTTCAAATACTCCGATTTATTTTTTTCTTTACTACCTGGAGATAAATTAATATTGATATCTTCTACTATAATAACTTTTTTCGTTGTAACGATTTTTAATATTATTTTAGTTAATATAATTTGAATTCCGGAAAATTGTTATTACGGCCTTTACAGTCACTATTTCACGAGTAGTCCCATTTGTATCAATATTTAATTGTAAACAATTGAAATTATCAATAATTATCTCATTGACATGATTATTTTTATGCTTAATATATTAACAAGTATAAACTAAACTACCATTTTAGTTAAAATTATTTCTAGAAGTTTTATATAATTTTAATCCATCTATATTAAGATTAACTATACAACTTTCAAGCCAACATTCAGTTAATACAACACAATTTGGAATAAAAAGCTCTACATATCTGTGGCACTCAAGTCTTGAAATTAATATTAATAAATTCCATAATGTAAATGCACCTAAGTTATACTCAAAAAAATCGATTTTACTCATATATGTTTATACAACCTAGTTTCGATAATTCCAATTTTTTTTTGTCCCTTGACAATTATTCTTATACACTCAATGCAATATTTGTCACGATAAGTCAAAGGTAAAATAATTGTACGTAGATAATTCTAAGTTGGTAATACTTAAATTTTATCATCACAATTGGTTTACAATCTTAACTGTACATATAAAACTACTATTGTAATATGAAATGATCAACAGTTGGTTCCTACTTATGTGCTACGTAGAAAATTGTAGTGTGTGTTATTCGTTGTGTTTTTGAACGTAAATTTGTTATATTAATAATTATTGAAAAAGTGAAAAGTTAGAATCTGATCAAAAAGAATAAGATCAATAGCGCTCGATTGCTTGTCGTATCCATATAAATAAATGCCAAACGAACTGAATGAGCGGTATGTTGAGCATTATCAACACGCCGATGACCGGGATTGATAAACTGCACTGCAACATCAGTATGATAATCTTGATTGTCGTGTGGCAACCATTTTTGGTGTTTTTTACGCCGCGTAGTAGAATAAGGGAAACCAAATCATAAATCCCCATGTTGATTGCATTGTTATATTAGATCATTCTATCAAAATTCAATTAACTCACATTTATTTACAATTAAAATGCTATAAATTATAATTCTTTTGAGACGATTTTGCTGTAGTGTGGAGGTGCTGCCACCCAAAACCTAATTCTTCTAATAACTTATCGGTAACTTAAAATTTCCGGAAATGAACTTGTATTTACAATTAAAAAGGCCATAACTAACAATTTGTAAATCAAAAGCTTCCCAGTATACTGGAGTATACTACAGTATACTTATACTGGAAACGGATGTGACACAAAACCGTATCTGCTGTCAATTAACCGGAAAAAAAAAAATGATTACAAACATATATTAAATATTTGTAAACCTAGAATTATTAAATATTTAATTACAAATATTTAAAAAAACATTTTCGTTTATACAGTGGAATACAATATTTTTTTCCACAACAAAATAAAATATAATTATTTATAAAAGAAAATTTAATTTTAAAATCTGAATAACTTTGAATGAATATTTAGTTTAAAATATTTATTTAAAAATTATAATTAAATATTTTCCAAATGTTTAGCATTGTGTACCACTGAACCTATATACTAGAGGTTAATATATTTATTTTACTCGTTGATAAAGTCGCACTTCTAATGAAGTAACTCCGGCACTTAATCTAAATTCTTAAGCCCTATGGTTTTAGACGCTCAGGACGTATTTGGTATAAGTTTCATGTCTCATTTTTACTTGACTATAAAAATATAAAATTTGAATAGACCCCGTATTACTGTGAAAATATTTCCGTTTTTCCGAAGTTTTCCTCAAGTCATTAAGAATACTATCACCCCCGTGCCTCAACTAGATAACATTAATCTCTATTAGAAACTATTTATGATGATCGGAACAAGATTTCTGGTCGCAAACTTGTTAATAGTTCCGCTTCGTTCACAATTTAAAACATAGAAAAACTAAAATTGTAATAATTTCAATATTTCTAGTTTCATTTCGAGTTTTGTTATTATTGTTGTTATTGTTGCGAATCGATTAATATAATTATTGCGTTCAAATTAAAAATAATAACAAACATTATTTTGCGCCGAGGTAGGTAATCAAAGTGAGACGACGAGACAGTGTCTCATTTTAAGTGTCCGAAGCGGAACGAAGAGACTATTAGTGAGTATACCTATTTGAACTATGGGTTTTTTTCAAACATTTTTTTTTTAGATTCCAACCGTAATAATACGACTATTTATTTTAAAAAAACTTACAAATTGTCATAAAAACGCTCGAAATGTTTCATGTACAGTTCGTTAGAACGGACAATTTAACATGCATGTATGATAGGTAAGTAGTTACCTACATTAAAGAGGGTAATTTCGGATTTGCGTGTTTGACGTTTGGGAAATTGCGACGTAGAAATACTACGACGGCTAAAAAATAAATATATAATATACAAGTAGTACGCGAGCATTAAAATTTTAATTCTGAGTTCTGACTTTCATTTCTGCAATACCGTTTGAGTTCATGATCGTTAACTATACCATCATGTTTAGATTTTTAATTGGCGAAATACACGAAATATATTGGTGTGTTCGTTTTATATTTGATCCATTTTAGATTCTGAGCGTACACTGTACAGCGAAGAAACTATCAGTTATGCTATAAAGACTTGGTTTTTTCCCGAAAAACTTTTTTTCGGCTAGTAAAAACGCTCCAAATGGTTCACATTGAATCTTAAAAGAGATGAACATTTTACTAAGAGGACACTCTATTTAAATAACATTTTACAAGACTTTTATAACACTTGATCATTTTCGAACACTTACCATATTACCATGGTGCGAAATATGTCCGGCTTTTCAATTAAACTTTTATTTTTCTATTCAAAATGAAACGTTTTATTAGGCAATGCAAATACAAGAAAATAACTGTTTTAATCAAATTCAGAAGAATATTCAATGTCAACGATGAGTATTGTTAATTATATTATATACCTATAACCGAAACTAAATATACTGCAGTCTAGAAGGCTTTCGTTTTACGCTCGGCGTACTTCTACGATTGTTTCTAAAAAAACATTGTGCAATTCTTTATAGTCCTTGACTTTGACCCACAACAGTCGACAATAGCGATTAATAATTGTACCGTGATGACCGTCTTCCTGTAAACAACAATGTTTGGCTAACGTTGTTACCTAAAAGAGCATCTATACCGTCTAATAAATTATATAAGATGCACTTTGACGTTTCACAAATGCCGTTTGTTCATCAAGTCGCAGATGCTCGTAAGTATATCCGATTTTGGAAATATGGTAAATACGATGGTACATGTACAGTCGAAAGTATGACGACAAATGTTAACAAATTGTAGAAAATAGGAAAAAAATACCGGTAATATTTTTAAGTAGATTTATTACCTGTATATAAGATTAAATATAGATAAAATAATATAAACTAGTTTATAGTAGTATAGATTAAAACTTAGCGGCTAAAAAATAACGAGCGAAATGAAAACTTCTATCGGGGTTACTGAAAACGACGACGAAACTTGACCAGTGGCGGATTAAGCAATTTGCCGTCCCTCCGTTATTATTTTAATTTTCTTCTTTTTCATGATAATAAAAAAAAAAGAAGAAATAAAATATAGAGAAGTGCATAGTCAATTAAATTATTGTTTATTATTTAAATGTATATAAAAAAAAGCCAGGTATAAAACACGTTGTTTGCCATTCCTTTGAGAAGGCCAAACTTTGAAGCGGGAAATATTTTAACACACACGCAGTAAACATTTTCGATTAGTTTCATTTCGGGGACTTGTAAGAATGATTCGAATTTTTAACTGACCAAGGAA